ATCTTTGAGACGTCTTCTTACCATAGCGTTCTGGTGGAATTCCTGAAAATTCCAGCTCAGTAAGAAGCAGATTACCTCACCCACACCTGAATGAGGCCGTCCCTGGTCCCACAGCTGTTCAGAATTTGAAGAAAAGAGTCCGGATAATGATCCAGGCTGTGGAAGGAAATAACTCCAAACGAAGCCTTTCCATCGGATCTGCCCTCGTTTTTCCTCAGCTGGAACCGTCCAAGACTTGTCCTGTACATCCACACACTTCAGTGGTCCAACAGCCCCAGTTTCACAGAGTCATCTATTTTTATAGGGCGAGTGCTGGGTAACACCCCCGAAACATCATGCCACCGTTCAATCCCACCTTTTTTGGTCGGATTTGTTACAGTATTCTCATGCATCTCTATGGGAGATGATTACCTCATACTCATACATATTAAAATCTGGGTGTAACCTTATTCTGCCCGGTTCTTGTCCGGACTTGTCTGATTCAACTTTTGAGTTGTTTTTCTCTTTGTTTACCTTATAAGGGTCTATGTTTTGCTTGGAGCTGCTTTAAGGTTCGGTATTGTGATACTTTCTTTCTTGCATAACTCATCACTCGTAAGACATTTGTGAAAAAACACGTTCTGAGAACATGGTTCACTTCCTTGTTAAACTCTTAACATTATAAAACAATACAGAGTACACTTTTAGAATCACAAAAGATTACATCGTCAACTTCATTAACTTTACTTGAGTCCCCTGTAATAAACAAATCATATTTCTATCAGGTTCAGCTGAGGGAAATGTTCTCCATCCTTCACTTTTCCCTTCTCTCCCCATTCCTCCCGCTTACGTGTGTGTGCTCGAGTGTGTGTGTGTGCATGTGTGTGTGTGTGTGTGTGTAAGTGTGTGTGTGTGAATGTGTGTGTGTGAGTGTGTATGTGTGAGTGTGTATGTGCCTTCAGCATCTGCTTCTCATTATCCTAGCCTGGAACAAGAGCATGCCCGGACATGAAATGAGAGAATGCCCGGACATGTCTGGGGGCAGACTGATTCCATTGTAGCAGGCCTTATTGACACTGCACATGTGCCTTCTTGAGCAGGGGGACCTTGCGAGCACTGCAGGATTTTAATCCATTCTTGGTGACTGTGGTCCCAGATGCCTTGAGATCATTAACAAGTTCCCCCTGTATAGTTTTAGGTTGATCTCTTACCTTCCTCATAATCAAGGATACCCCATGAGGTGAGATTTTGCATGGAGCCTCAGATTGATGTCAATTGACAGTCATTTTGTATTTCTTCCATTTTCTTACTATTGCACCAACAGTTGTCTCCTTCTCACCCAGCGTCTTACTTATGGGTTAGCTCATCACCTGTCACTCCCAATCTCCCTCCTTTAATAAACAATTTAAATTTAAATACTGTAACATTTTAAATAAACAATCCATGCTGCAAGGATTGTTTATTTAAAATATGACAGTATTTAAATTGTAGATAAGAGAAGTGCAGCAGGACATCAAAGGGATGTCACTCAGCTTCAGCTCTGCAGCATGGAGCAGAAATGTACTTCTTGATCAATTACACTTCAACAACTGAACATAGAAGTTCTAAAATAATTAAAAATAACTTTTAACACTTTTATATTTTGTTATTATGATGATTTCACGATGTGACACTTTGAATTTTAAGTTGGAAGACAAAAGTCAATGGGTGCATCTCGACAGCAAAGGGTTATTAACCTTTCACAAAGCTGCAGCAGGAGAAATGTGTGCGTGGTAGAGAAGGAAATCAGCTGATCAGTTGGAGGGAGATTTCCCTGCACTTGTGGGCTGCACACATGGTGCAAAATCATTAAAATAATTTATTTTAAACAAACAACCCATGGCTCATCCATCAATCAGCCAATTGTGTCATGTTCAATCTTACTTTGAAAAACCATCATATAACGAATCTACGATAAATGAACTGCAAAGTAGCGAAGGACTACTGTATATATACATCCATCCATCCATTATCTTTACCCGTTTCTTCCATTTTGGGTCACGGGGTAAATAAATAATATAACATACATAAAGAATATAAAATACATAAAGAATATAAAATACATACAGCAAAGTTAAGGATAAGCAAGTCTAAAGAGATGTGAGATGAGGGGCAGAGCAGGTGAAGGCCCTGCTCTCCATGGTGGAGAGGCGGGCAGAGGGTACATGGAGGTAGTGAAGACGAGGATCTGAGAGAGCGAGAGGGGATGGAGATGTGTAGGAGGTCAGATAGGTAAGGAGGGGCAAGGTGGTGGATACAGTAGCTTAGAAAGTGAGAAGAAGAATTTTGAAGACGATGCGTGATTTAACCGGGAGCCAGTGGAGCTGCTGCAGGACAGGAGTGATGTGATTAGGAGGAGGTTTGAGTGATGACACGGGCAGCTGAGTTGTGGACCATTTGCAGCTTCTGAAGAGATTTGTTGGGGAGGCCATAAAGAAGGGAGTTGCAGTAGTCAATCTGAGAAGTCACAAGACTGTGCACAAGGATGGCTGTGGAGCGGGTGTGAGAGAAGGGCGGAGACGGTTAATATTTCTGAGATGGAAATAGGCAGAGTAACATTGTTGATGTGTGAAGTGAAGGAGAGAGTGGTGTCGAGGATGACACCAAGGCTCTTGACCTGAGGCAAGGGGGATACAGAGAGTTGTTAAGGGGGATGAGAAGATGTTCTGATTTTGAAATAGAGTTTTTGGTACTGACAAGAATGATTTCGGTTTTGTCACTGTTTAGTTGTAGGAAATTGTTAGAAAACCAATGATTTAGCTCATTGAGACAGTCGGTGAGGATGGAGGGTGGGTGGGTGGAGTTTGGTTTTGTACAGTGCGCTGATGTCACATCTAGACCCAACAAGAACCAGACCTGGGACCTCAGAGAAGTAGGTCCCAAAAATGGGGTGGGTTCCACCGCTGAAGGCACTGTGGATAAACCACGCAATCGGTCCGAACTAGTTTCATAGGAGCCCCAAAAGGCCCTGTGGATAAGGGGCTATAGAGTTCCTTGTGAATTGAGAAACCGAATTTTTTATAGAGTCGTTCCAACCTCCGACCTTTGGATTTCAGAGACTGAAGTTCTGGAGTAAACCAGGGTGCAGAGTTGGAGAAGGAGACAGACCGGGTTTTCAAAGGAGCAACAGAGTTAAGGATGTTGGTGAGGCTGTTATTGTAGAATGTGACAAGGTCATCCGGGTTAGAAGAATTGAAGGTGAAGAAGGTATTATTAATATGAGACAAAATAATGTCATGGTTGATATTCTTAATATTACGGAAGGAAAGAGTGTGTTGAGCTTTCTTGGAAGAAAATTTAAGATTGACACTGAATGACACCTTTTAGAATGACACCTACACACATTATTGTGCCCCCCCACACACACACACACACATTACGGATGCTTCTGACACCCTTGTATGTTTGTTTGTGTGTGTCTGTGTATGTACTTACACATGTGAAATGTTCAACACAAAATTAATCTTTCAGGATATACTAGTCTCATGATGTCTTTAAGCCTGAATGACACTGAATATATATATATATATATATATATATATGTTTGCATAGGCGTCACAACCATTATATGTGAAGGGGACATGTTCCCCCCACACTAAAAAAAACGTTCATTTGAACCCACCCCACCCCCACCCCCACACACTTTTACTATGAAACTAGTTCAGGTGGGGCAGTTTCCCTTTCTTCGTGAACGAATCCATGCCACTTGAATAGGAGAATACTCAAGCCACTAAAACTCCACTCCAGGTTTTCCTGGTTACCTCCAACTCTACGCAGCACAGAGCAAAAAGTGTGCAAGCAGCAGACTGACGAGTCTCCTGCTTCGGCAGAAAACGAGCACAGGTGGAGGAGATGGAGACACCTCTGTGTTGCTCGCTCGCCAGTTTAGTAAGCTTAGTGCAGACAGTTGTTGACCGGGGGGGGAATGATCATAAACATATATACATAGTTAGGAGGATGCTTGAGAGGAGCTATGTCTGTATGTCTGTAGCATCTTAGCTTAGCAGTAACTGTGACGCTGTAAGACGCTGCAGGTGTAAGAGACGCTGCAGGTGTAAGAGACGCTACAGGTGTAAGAAACGCTGTGTGTTCAGGTTCATTAAAGTTGAAATGTCTTTAAAACCCTACACCTTATTGTCCTCAAGCTTCATGAGAAACATCATTTAGATGAGTAGTGTTGAACACAAGTAAAAAAAAGTCTAGTGGTGATGTTTTTTTTAATTTCTCTATAAACACAAATAGTGCTGATCTGAGGCTGTGTGTTAAAAGTGTATTAAAGTTAAAATGTGTTTAAAACCCACAGCTGAATTTACACAAACTTGATGAGAAACATACTTTGAATGTGTGGAATTAAAGGAAATCTAGGTGAAATGCTGCTTTTTTTTTTTACACTTCTTTACGCGCACACGCACCCACACGCACGCATGCACACACACACCTACACACATCATTGTGCCCCCCCCCACACACACACGTTATAGATGCTTCTGACGCCCTTGTATGTTTGATTGTGTGTGTTTGTGTATGTACTTACACATATGAAATGTTTGACAAAATTAACCTTTCAGGATATACTAGTCTCATGATGTCTTTAAGCCTTTAATGAAGTCACAATTTTCTCATGATTATATTAAGGTTGACATGATGAAATTATTATTATTTTTTAAATCAAGGTCATTTTTTTTTTTTTTTTAACACCAACACAGAACAGATAAAATTAAAAAAGGAACTCTCCCACCCCACCCACACCAGATCAGCCACACATACATACATAAACGTCTTAATTTATGTATTTTCATGTTTTTAACATATGAAACAAAAGGCTGCCAGGTGTCCCAAAATCTTTGTGCAGTCTTTCACAGTATATCTGATTTTGAAACGATTTTATAGTAATTTCCCCACACCTGAAACCAGTTATAATGATCACAGAGGGGCGTCACCATATTATAGCCCCGCCTGTTGTCTTTTAGCTCCGCCCACAACAGCAGAGCTTCGTTTTTCCTGTTTTTCTCGCAACTAGCAAAGGCAGAAAAAGAAAAGGAAGCGCGGCTTCTAGATCATTGAAGGGTCAAAATTATGAGCAAGGCTGTTTGCGCGTGAACCACACCTACGTTTGAGGACGGGGAACGGATTACTTATTGCACCTATGCCTATGATAAAAACGGATGGTCATGCCAAGCCGGCCCTCGTATGCAAGTAAGTAGCGGCTAATTGTAGCCTGTGTTTTTCACGTTCGGTTGCAGTTTGTGTTTTACGGTGGTTTGAGTCCCCTGGTTTTCCAGCTGAGAATGATGCTGTAATTTCAAACGGTGAACCACGTTATGTTTTCCCCCCTCCTTTACTTCGAAGTACGTCAGCACGGCCATGATGAAGCGGTGTCTTGCACAAGAAGGGCTGAACGTTTGCGCCGTTCTGTTTTTTGTACATTTTATTTTTGTAAGTCGTAATTCTGCGTGTTTCAGACATGCAACGCAGCTACCAGTTGTTTGTGTGAAAGTGCCCGTTTTCTGTGAAAAAGATGGGGACATTTTGAAGAGACGATTGAGAATTTAAAATGCATTTTTCAAGTGACTGTTTTAATGTCTTGGCGACAAAGAGCGGTGGGTGAGAAAAACCTAGCTGAGTGATGTATATTTTTAATTTTTTATTTAATATTTGTGTTTTTATATATATTTTTTGAAATGTATTCTAAAAAAATTGAGCAAAAATACCAAGGATTGAGGTAATGATGGGCTGGCAAATAAATCTTTCTGAAGGCTGAAGCTTGTTTCTGTAAGTCTGGTATAACGTTTTCAACACAGTTCCCTTTGGCGCCCACTTGTGGCCAAATGTATAAAAATGAGTTTGAAACCACTGCATGAACTGGACAGCTGCATTGTTGTTGTGCTCAGGGTGAATGAATGAGTGGGACTCATTTTGAGCCCTGAGGTTTCATGACTCAGACGTTTTAGGTGTCTGTTTACACAACGTGTATTTTGAGTGAATCCACAACTTTTCCTCTGCAGTTTGACTGTTCATTTACACGACACCTGCCCTCGCCCTCTCTGAATCCGGTAGTTTTTAAACCCAGGTCTGAGTGGAGATTTTTGTGGGGGACCCCCCCACTGTGTTGTGAAAAGCTCCTGCTGAGGTGTTTGCACTTGCGCACTACAGGCGTATATTTCACGCATGCGCGAACCAACGGCATATCTATCAACATCAATGGCGCCAGAGTATAGCATAATGATTTCTGCGCTATGACTGATAGAATATATTTTTGGGTCTCAGTTAATCTACGCCAGAATGCAGGTGCCGTGACCGACCTCTGCGTTGAAAGAAGATGCCAGTCGGCTCGCGTTCAAAATCACCTTGTATTGAACAAGCCTGTTGAGGCATATATTTCACGTGTTGCGCTTGAGTATAGTATAACATATATTAAATGTGCTAAATTTCTGGGGCCCGCCATCTTCCCCTTAACTCCTCTGAGGAAGACAGTCAAAGTGTCTTAAAACAAAGTTCATACTCTGTAATCCGGGTACATACTTCCGGCAAGATGGTGCCTGTGTACATGGCTTGCAATCCACCTCTGCTGACTGTATTAGTATTTATTTATTTCATTTCTCATCCGTGACATCAACTCTCTGCTGGAATATGAACGACAACAACTTTTGGCTCTTCGACTTTGTGCCACCAACATACTTATTTTGAGCAATATGGGCGACCCCCACCCCCACCCCCCCCACCCCCCCGGCTGCTGGCGGACGTTCCAGTTTACCCACGGCGTGCTGCACACCTGCCTCCCCGGAGACATTGCTCCAGACGCCGGGGAAAACGCGCTGGCTGGCTGGTGAAGCTTTGCATCATCCTCTCCAGCTGATGGTCAACATTTCCATCTCCGATCCTGGCGCTGTACAGATCCTGTGGCGTGCTGTCTGGTCCCGTTGGCGGGGTCTGATCATCACACTGGGCCCGTGTGCGATTGCGTTTCCTGCCTGAGGCGCGGGTCGAACTCTGCAAATCTGAGGCTGCTGGACTGGACACCGCAATCATCTCCTCCTGTGGTGGATTCTATGAGAATGGCCCTGATGGATGCCAGATCGCTAGGGCTGGGTACCTTTCTAAAAAAATCTGTGTTGGTGTCGGTACCTTCACTTCGGTTCCTGGACGGTTCTTTTTTCGGTACAGATTTTGTAATTGATATTAATTCTAACAAAAATAATATTGTGTTACACATTACAGTACAAATCGTGAGTTTTATTTTTTTAACTTTGGTATTTTTCTATTCCAAGCAGTTTTCTTACATAAAAATAAACAATTTTCATCTCAAAAGAACAGTTACAAACCAGTGACATGTCAGTGTCCTAATGCTCACTGCGATACATTGAGGACTTTTTCACTTAGCAGTTTATCTTCAGAAACAACATGTCTGCTTTCTCTGGACACAAACAAGCCTGCTCCTGGCTGATAGTGTCTCCAGCAGTAGAAAATGTTCGCTCTGAGGGTGTGGATGATGCTGTTGCACACACAGATACCTGGTTGCAAAGTTTGACAGCATTTGCGTATTGTCTCATATTCCACCACCAGGTCACTGGATTCACTGAGGCTAGGGTTGATGGCAGACTTCTGCACCTCCGTGTCTCTTCCTGAATTTTTTTCTGTGGTTCTCTTGAGGTTTAGGGCTCTTCTCATCTCCCTGACATTAGAACACAAAACATCAACAATAACATGGTTGTGTTATTGCTCAAACATTATCTAGGCTGGGAGATAAAGGCTTAACTGCAAAGTCCATGCTCTATAATCTAGGTATACAATCCAACATTTTGCAGTCGGGTCATCTGGACAGTTTGTATTAATTTTTTTTTTTTTTTTTTTTTTTTTTTGGCGCTGAAACATTTCGCCTTCGATCCGAAAGGTTTTATCAGTCAAGGAAACCCACAACAAAACTGATTCTTCCCCCAACAGCTTACTCCAAAGTGGAACAAACCAGTTTTGCTGGTGCTAAGATGGTCTCTTTGGTACACCCCCTCCTCCGTTGCTGGCCCCCTTCTTTGTTGACTGTTGTGGGAAGAATCAGTTTTGTGTCGTTTCCTTGACTGATAAAGCCTTCCAGATTGAAGGCGAAACGTTTCAGCACAAAAAAAAAAACAACTGTGCAGGTGACTTGATTGAAAAATGTTGGAAAGGTTTATTTTCACAAAGATGTCCTCCTTTACTCCTCTCTCAAAGGAGGCCATCTTTGTGAAAATAAATCTTCCATCATTAAACGGGGGTGGAGGCCTCCGTGTTCAACTGTCCACCTTGTACAATGCTGTTATTGCTAGTATCACTCAGCCCCCTGTGAATAGCAAACAGTCATCAGGGTGCTAACGATCCATTGTTAGGCTGATGGTCCTTCTTGACCATGTGAGCAGCTGGTTTTGGTTGTCAGCAGCAAACTGGTTGATCCACTCTAAGAAGGTGCTATTTAAGAGACTGAGCTGAATACAGCATCTCAGACTGAAGAAGTCTTTCGGATGGAAGACGAAACGTTTCTACACTTTTTTTTTTTTTTTTTTTATAAATGTCCAGAGGTATAGATTTATTTTATTTATTTATTTATTTATTTTTTAGATTTTTCTACCTGGATTATTGAGCATGCATCAGGATATTAACATAAATGGTGAACAGGTGAACTGTTTAACCAGCTGACCGGATGGATGAGCACATTTTTACAAGCTAAGCTTCATCCGTTACTGTCAGTCTTTAGTTAACTTTTTGATTTTTAGCTAGTTACATAGCCATAAAATAAAGCTACACAATAATATATTAAAAGTAGTGTTACATGGATCCTAGTTTAACTCACCGCAATGCACGTATTAAGCTGCATTAACACTAACAAATGTAAAATAACCAGCTGAATGAAGAGTCCGGTCGTGGAGATTTTTAATCACGCCGTTCAGGCTCTAACACTCACAGGCTGACTTTAACGCTGAGAGGAGGAGGAGGAGGCTGCGGTCCTCTTCTTCCAGTCAAACACGGAGCAACTTATCGCTCGTAGATTGAAGCTGTTCGACACATGCGCTGCACACATGAACCCCGTCTATAGGCGTATCCAGCGCCATAGACCAATGGCAATACAGCAGTTCTATACAGCTCTGGGCGTAAACGCGTATGTCTGTTTGCCATATATCTGTGTTTTACCTGGCTGCGTGCTGAAACCACGTGTCATGTTACAGCCAATCGCCGAAACTTGACACCGAACGAAGAGGCATGTTTTAATCTCAACACCGAACGAAACAGTTGGGTCGGTACCACAAAAGAACCGAGTACCTTCTTCATCATTATGCTCCTTCTCGGGCTTTGAGATGGGGCTGGACGATATGGTCAAAACTTTTATCACGATATATTTCTTAATTTCGGTCTTAACAATATAATTCAATATCGATATAAACAAAAAGCCTCAGAAAAACTGTACAAATAATGTTAATGTTCTCTTCACAGGAGCCTCTGACCCTGGTGTGAGGAGAACAGACAAAAAAGCAATCTTTTTATAGCTTTAAAAAAAAAAAATGAAATCACCGTTAAAAAAAAACCATATCTGATTTGACAATAGAAAAATGGGCGTGTCTGGCCGGCCACATCTGATTGGACGATGGGAAAAAAAAAAGGCTGAACGATAAATGCCGTAACCACAGACACATTATGTCTAAAAACAAGGCGTTATTGGCAGATTGTGTTAACCACAGGCATATTATGTCTGTGGTGGTAACCGGTTCGACATTAGCGGCGTCTCAGGTTCAACACTGGCAGCGTCTCGGTTCGACGTTAGCGGTGTCTCCATGACTTCTTTTTCCGCCTCTCAACACAGAACTTCCGGTTAAATTTCAAAATAAGAGCAACATAACTGGGTAGTGGGGAGGGCTAAATGTTAAGTTTTTTTGTTTTTTTTTAATACCTAGCCGTAACATTAAAAAAAAATTCCATTTTGGTTGTTGAAAAATGTGAAAAAAGTTACAATCAATTTCATAAAAAAAAGAAAAATATTAATGATACTTAAACTGGCCTTGGGACAAAGGATGTTTTAACTTCACATTTTCTTGTTCAACTTGCAGTCACTACAGATGAGTGATCGTCAGTTTCTGTAAGATTTCTGCAATTGGAGCAGGTATTTCTGTTTACTGGTTAACTTCCTCAGCTGTCTCAAATTTTAAAGGTCAACCCTACTCCATGTTTCAGCT